TGTCTTATGTCAATTTGTTGTTTTCTATATCTATAGTTGGGACACATCATCCCTAGTAGCATATATTGGTTTCACATACATTTTCTAAACGTACATACCATTTCATAATCGTTTGTAAAATGTTTCCCACACATTTCTAAACGGTATATACTAACCATGGATATAGTGTACTATATGGATTCCGAATGCCCTATGTTCTGTCGTCTAATAAAGTGAAGTCAACATTTAGAAAGAGAGCGAGAATAGAGGGGCTATAGTTTTCTTCCCATTTTGTCACTTTTTTGTTGCGCGTGCATCCATTTCTCGTTTCCATAATATTATAGAGCGCAATAGCACCCCGACTAGACTGGCAAGTAAAAGTTTTACTTAAATCTTATTGCACATTGTCTGTGCAGAAAGAGACAGAGGATAGAGGGGCTGTATACGGGGGCGGTATATTGGCTTCTCTTTTCTGACTGTATGCGGAGTCTATATATATTATGTCTATGGTCTCTTTCTACATGTTGGCTTCACTTTTCTGATCGTATGCGGGGTCCATGTATACTACGTCCATGATACTAACCGAGACGTTTTCATGTAGTATACTGTAATTCATCATATTTTATTAATATTAATAATTGAACGTTGAAATATCGAAGTATTAAATTGAGAAAAACTTAAGAAGATGCCGGACCGAGCGACGAACTTAATAAGCGTCGATAACGTAGAGCGATCATTAAAAAGTAAAAACCGTTATCATCATTCACCAATAATATCGAATTTATGTACACATAGATACTTATGGGATAAAGACGATTGCCAAATAGGCGCTAACATGATACCGCTATCATCTTTTCACAAATGTTATGCAAGCGTGTGTGCTACGTTGACATTTCAATTTTCTTACACAATTTTCATACACGTTACGTAAATGTGAATGCCGCGTTGCCGATATTCTTTCCAAAATAACTCTTGCTACTTTTCTGATGAATTTTTCAAACTGCTTATGTATTGAGTGCATCAAAGAAAGAGCTTTTAGAGAATAGTGTTGTAGGCGTAAGCGTAGTTTATGAATAATTTTTTGAAAAATACGTTACCTATTATTTGAGTTTTCAATATAATTAGTAACGGTAATTTGAGATATATTCATTTCGCACTGACCAATGTTACACTTTATTTTCGCACGTAATTTTATCATATAAATTGGAGCAGTCAGTACGCTGTAATTTTTGAAAAATGAAATCAATGTCACGATAGCAATAGTTTCACATCGTTTTCATCCCTGAGGCAGGAATGCGCTATTTCATTTATGCACGTATTTTTACTATACAAAAGCATTTTAAATTTGGTCAAGTCAACATAAAGTAAAATTTGTTGGGAAATGTCGTTGACGTGATACCGAATACTTTTGCAAAACTATTGTCTCGTGCTGATTCGACAAAATTAAAAATCTTTTGCATGGTGAAAATACATGCGAAAATGAAGCGGAGCATCCATCAATATGAAACGAAAACGATAATGTACAGTTATTATCACGAAATCGAATTTTTCTGCAAAGTTTACTTCTTTCTACCTGCGTCGAATTAAAAGCTCTTTTGAATGGTGAAAATACGTGCGAAAATGAAGCAGAGCATCCATCAATATGAAACGAAAACGATAATGTACAGTTATTATCACGAAATCGAATTTTTCTGCAAAGTTTACTTCTTTCTACCTGCGTCGAATTAAAAGCTCTTTTGAATGGTGAAAATACGTGCGAAAATGAAGCAGAGCATCCATCAATATGAGACAAAAACGATAAGAAAAAATCTATTCTTTCATACATGTTTATGATATATCTCTAAGTGATATGTCTATAATATATCTATACACGGAATTGAGAACATTTGATAAGCGCATTCACACTTACGTAACGTCTATGTGTAAGAAAATTGAAATGACAACGTAGCACATACATTTTCATAACATTTGTGAAGGGACGATATATGAAATCATAATTCGGCGCATTGGTAGCGCAAACATGTTGGCGCTTATCAAATGTAACATTTTGACGATCGTCTCCGTTCCGTATATAGATATATTATAGACATATCATTACTTAGAGATATATCATAAATATATATGAAAAAATAGATTTTTTCTTATCGTTTTCGTCTCATTGATGGATGCTCCGCTTCATTTTCGCATATATTTTCACCATTCAAAAGAGTTTTTAATTTGACGCAGATAGAAAGAAGTAAACTTTGCAGAAAGATTCGATTTCGTGATAGTAATTATTCAGTATCGTTTTTGCTTCATATTGTTGGGTGCTCTGCTTTATTTTCGCACGTATTTTCACTATGTAAAATTGTTTTTAATTCAGTTCAATCAATAAGACGTAATCTTTGCAGAAATATTATTATTTTGCCTGGAATTTTGATTATATATATTATATATATGTATATATATAATGCGGCGACATCATGATAAACAATTGCGTGGGCTCTGAGAAAACTATATATATATATATATATATATATATATATATATATATATATATATATAT